CTTACTTGATTCGGTTGAGATCAAACGTACCGACGTGTTACGGATTGACGGACAACAATGCGAATTTTTACTAAACCATCTCAAACGTTAGCCATTGTTGGAATGTGGATAGTACTAGCATAGTTTTTGCATTTGAAGTTTAAAACCAGACTAGTTACGAGTTAGTTGTATGAGATTAATTTCGATTATTTTTGTGACGTAGGTTACGGTGACACATGATTAAAAATAATTTTAGTTGATAAAAGGATATTTAAACATTTTAATAAAATTTAAACGAGCTGTTTTTCTCAATTTAATTGATATACAAAAGAGTTTTTCAAACACATTTTGTCGCACCATTGTGTGTATGTAAGCATATTACCTACTTTTTTTCAATTCTATGTTCGTAAGAACTACACTCATCTCAAAAATACAATTTAATTTTGAAGTTCAAATAAACGTATGTAGTTTTAAACTCATTCGCTATTATTATAAGAGGCGGGTTAGTTTAACATTGAACAGTCGGTAACCTTTTTCAGGCCGAGCGTATTGGTCAAACACTAGTACACACACACAGGGGTGATCGTGTGAAATATAATACTTAAAAAAAACAATAAGAACAATCAAGAGGCACGCGACCACAGACAAACAGTCTGGGAATATACGACCGTTACGCACAGATTGACATTCAAAAAAAACCGCCAATAAAAAATCACGCAGCTCTGCGCTATAACGCTTGATATATAAAAACTATAATGCTATCCATCACTGCTGCACACCCGTAATGCATTTATGCATATTTTTTTTCCCGTCGCCCCTTACTTGCAAGAAGTTTTTGTGCGAATCTTACAGCCATTGTACAACGAAACCGAATCTTTCACAAAGCTAGTCTCGGAAATATGGAGCACCTGGTGCTGCCCGGGACAATGTGACACAACCGGCGATGTGTTCGCTCGTAAATCAAAAACTATCACACACACAAATACGATCTAATTGCATAATGCGGACCAGCTCTATACAGACAATACAAGACATTGACTGGTGTCGAAGATTGGAATCTAAACATCTCTCATTGAAAACTAGACGCAGATGACGCTCTTTACACAGAAATCAATAATAATGTCGACAATGGGCACGGCGTTTTAAATCCTGTTACTATCCGATCTCCATATACTTCTCGGAAGCACTCAAACAAATTGCTCGTAAATTACTTATATAGCTGTATTATATGAATATAAAGTAACGCCTATCATTACTATACAAAGCAATAAAACGTATTGTATAATAATTTCGTGTTTTACGAGCGATGCAACAGAGAACATTCTATGTTCTTTATGATGCGGATTAAATGGGAGTTAACGAGAACTGTGCATAGACTGAGACGCGGGCGACGCCGGGCGGCGGGACTAGTGTGACTGTCACCATTATTATATTGAAGCGGGCCTTTATATAGATATTAATGTACGTCATATCTGCGTACTACACACGTCGAGTGTCACACACATAATTACTCCGGGTCATAGTATATGTATATTGTAAACTGCGAGTCGCGTCGTTTGTTTCCATACAATCGTCCAACCTTCGAATAATTAATCTCCTGTATTTATTATCGCCTATCACACCGTCGCTTTATTCCCTACTTCCTTTCCAGGGTTTCCATTCCTGGGCACGTCCGGTGTTGTTAACCCGACCACGGCTTTGTTTGTAAATATAATAACATTTTATTATGTTAAACCGTACGTGAGTCACACGTCTCAACTCTCAAGGCGGGGGTGCACAGCTGTTTTTCAGATATGCTCAATTTTTATTATAATTGTACTCGTTACACGAACATGTTGTATCGGAAGAGATTTTATTATAAGTTATAGACATCCTAGGACGTCTCTAACAACTGTATAAAACAAACGACAGATATCAAATACATGTTAAGATCATTTTTCTATAAAAAGTTACAATGATTATAATATTCTATAACCATAAACGAATATAATATTCTTATACTTGGTGTAAGTAAAACCTATTTTTCTATTTGAAGTCAGGAAGTGCATCAAACGCATTGTAATCACTTAGAAGATGTTCTATGATAGGGACACCTGATAACATCTTTACGATCGCCTCCAGTCAAGTCAGTGCGCTGTGATAATATTCAAAATACGTATAAAAAGTAGCTAATGAGTTGTTTGTATTCAATGATAGGAACTTCTGGTAATACGGGCATTCGGTGTAACGTTTGTATACTAATGTCATATATCCCGGTTTTGTATATTAAATATTTATATATTTTATTACACACGGAACATTCACATATTCAAACTAACTTGATATTATAAAAGGAGAGATCGTAAAAAAATAGATTTATTACGGAACGTGTCTAACTGCTTGATTAACTAATAACAGTTAAGATTCCAAAATATAGTTAACTATAACATTTTCAAAGTGATTATATTAAGTAATTTAAAAGTAGGATATCATAAAATTTAATGTACTTAAAAACGCGATAATATTGGAAATCCTTCAAAGTGTCAATAAGCGTAAACTGGTCTAATGACCAAATAGAAACTGTTTTTAAAATTACAATTAGATATAGCGCTTATAAGAAGTATGTAAGTATGAATAAATAAAATGAGAACTTTATATTATGAGTAAGTTGAGTTTACTAAAACATCGAACGGTTCTATTGAAGATAATAAAATATGTCTGTTATATTAAAATGTATGAAATCCGTATTATATAAGTATAGTACGTCGATAATTTTACTATCTCGTGATAAAAGATTTCATGAATCGTGTCGTTATCATGTGAGCTTCATATCATGTACGGAATTAGAACAAAGATTTCTACACCATATTAAATCATATTATATTTTAAATAAAAAAATAACAGAAATTACAAAAAAATATACTAAAAACCGTTATTATCTACATTATTCAATTTATCGTACAAGATGTTTCTATTAAGATAAATAGTTTTAAGCCTAAATGTCTAATTTTCTAATTGGATTGTTATATTGCATTATAAATTTATATTGTGTTTGCAAACTAACATTAAGCATTAATTACTAAACAAGTCTTTAATCGATAGTGTTGGCTATTAATCATAGATAAGGTTTATTGTAGCTCAACAATTGTGACTAATTATTCAACGAACGTTAACGTTTAAGTCAGGGTTTCGAACCTAAATCAAGCCTGGTGGTGCCATCTATTAATATCTTAGAAACTAAAATAGGTGGTGTTAATGTTCATAATACGTCTTAATCATTACCAAAACTCTATAAAAATTTAAGTTACAAATTTAGTTACTAAATTTTAAAGTAGTGTTAATGTTTATTTCATAAGAAAAAAAACGGAGAAAAAGGAGCGCCACCTATCGCAGTATAGGATAACTAAAGCTTTATCTATTCGACAACAGGAGGCGCTGTTCCATAAATTCTAAAACTTACCAGCGCCATCTAGCGGCGAATAGCAGTAGCACATTTCTCACTTGAATAGCAATGATCCCAACGCCATCTATTAACAAACACTGCATCCAAAGCGCACATTTTAAAATCACATATTACTTCATATAGCCAGCAACTATGATGGCACACTATTTCACGTTATAAAATTGTCATTTTTGTTTATGATATGTTCTTGATGCACTGCACCCATAGCACATAACTTACACTTGCACATGTGGTGTTGCATCATAAGCGCATACATCTGAAACAAAGACGTTGAGGTTAATTTAATGTCATTGTGTTTATCAACTTCTTAAGACATACAATACAGGCATATAACAACATTATTATATATACCACTGTTAAGAGATGACTAAATATTATGTATTAAAAAAATATTTGAGGTTTGCCGACAAAAGGATTACAGTAAAATTTTGCTTTTATTATTCTGTAATAATCAAATATTTAACACTTTATACTGATGCAATAAAATTCCTAAGTGAAGAATCACAGCAGTTACATGATTCGTTCACTGCATGTTCCGAGAATCTGTTGACCTAGAAAAAAAATTTGCATGCGGATGCAATTCACTCACACACACTGAGATAACCAAACTTTAGCTTAATATCATATCATCATCATATGTAAGAAACATATTTATAGAAAATACCACATACATTAGAAATGACATGTGAAGAATTTCTTAGAAAAATTACAATCACAAAGTAAAGTAAGTAAGAAAGTATACTGAAGATTAATCACCATATATAATTAAGTAAAATATAAAGCTTGCCCTTAATACAAACTTAATCTTAAGTGCTACCTATAATTAAAACAGAATGATTGTTATTATCAAAAACGGGCTTGACTAGAAATAGGATTTTAATAACCACATTTTTTTCATTCCATGCATGCCACTTTCACACTTTTATTTTTATATAGGGACCAAAAAAAGGTGAAGAAGAGGTTTATAAAGAAAATAACCAAAATGCAGACCTACATTCATGATAGCACCTCTTGAAAACACGTTCGACACTCGTTTTATAGATATTTTGACATAGTGGTGCACGTGTAGCGAACCATACAGCCTTTTACTAGTTGTATGATTGGTTCTATTGTTCACTTTTAGACTGAAACTTCAGAAACTGACTGAAAATTGCAAGCACGTGCACTTGTAAATGCACTTATATGATATACAAAAAAAATGTTTTTTTCCCTGCAAACACGCACGTAAGAGACCTGATTCACTACTCTGGCGCACAAACCGAAGCAAGTACAGTTTTTTAAAATATATTTTTATAACCAATTCGAATATCATCGGCTGAAAAACTACACAAAGAAAACATATGATCGATCGAAATTGAATTGAAGTGCACATGGAATTGTCTATGGCATAGACGATCTCCTGTCACTGCTAAATATGAATGAACGAAAGGAATGAAAAGATTTTATATAATTGAAATATCTAAAAAAAATCTTAACAAGAACGCAATATTTTAAAAGTAAATAATATTTATTAATTACTTACCATATTTTTGGTGTAATTGTTTTGAATTAAATTTTTATTTAATTTTATTGCCATTAATCATAGTGCTGCTAACAGGGCCTGTAATTGAAAAATAAAATTATTTAATATTTAGGAAACAGATAATCATCACAAATCATAAGTGGTGAGCTTCTTGTACATACGATTTATGATCTTAACTTACCGGTTCGTCTTCAATCCATAAACTTTCAAACTCTTTCTCGAATTTGTTAACTATATTGGCATGTGAAGTAACGATTACACTTTCATGATTTGACACCATGGCTTGAGTAGACCAATTCAAGGAACCAGACATAACGAAGCCCTTGCATGGTTTAGACTTTATTTGAGATTTCACGTTGTACTTAGCAAATTGTGCATGGATATTTAATTTTTCAGCACAAGCTTTTAACACATTCTTTCGTTTAATAGCTTTAGGTCCGTCAATGATGCAAAACTTATGGTGCATTAGTATTGACTTTTTATTAGTCTGCACCTGAATAAAGCCTAAAAATTTTAAAAAGACAAATTATAAAAATAATAAGAATATATGTGAAATTATTTAGTATAACCAACTTACTATATTCCTTAAGCTTGTTTATTTGAGATGGAGGCGTGTTGGACATGTCACTATCCACGACAATTCTTACTAACACATGTCTTTGTCCCAACCTTATAATTTGTTCTGCTATTTCACTACTCGTTATCAGATACATGCAGACGTCTAACGTCTCACGTGCTGATTTTATATACTTTATTAATTTAAAGCAGTTTAGTTCCCTACTTTCACATATAGTAACATCTTTATTGGGTGGAACTTTGATAGTGTGTCGTACAACGTCATCTGAGAATAATATTACGTCGTTAATTTCACGATTTCTAATATTAAGAACATCGTTCTCACTTGCATCCTCTGGCCGGGTGTTTTTTCTTGAGTTGGAAAAGTAATTACACAACTTTTTGACCACTTGGGAAGCAACAACCACAGTAGCAGTAGATGCTAATAGAATTTTTGCACTTTTCCAATCCATTTTAATTTAAATATTAGAAATAAAAAATATAAACAAAAACTAGATTTCAACATTCCACCATGATGTCCACGCAAATGACTACTCTTTCCTTAAACAAATTTATTCTTCTCTTAATCTACCCACATTTGTACAAAAATCATTTAAAACAAAATAGATTGCTCCTTACAGCTAATTCGTTTTTTTAAATGTTGTTTATCTAACACCCACATATAAATAAGGCTAGAAATGTAATAATATAAATATCTTTTATTTAAAAAAAATACACAAAAACATTGACTATTGAGACGATTAAGATAATCTATGCTCCTACAATCTAACAAGTTCCAATATATATCTGTCATTGTCCTGCTACGGACAAAATACGTAATAAATGCAATTTCAAAATATAAATACATAACAACTAAATAAATCAGGCATTTCATGTTTGATTATCTACATGAATATAAAACATTATTTTAAGGGGGTGATGGTGTTATTGACGAATCTAAAAATGTATTGAATGTAACATTTAACTACGCTAATAATTAATAATGCCTAAGATACCATATAAACCTGAAAAGGGTCGAGAAGAAGATGAGGATTATGAAATCGTATCTTTTGAAGACTTTTGCGATAAGCCACCAGGAACGAGTACTGATCTATTGACTTTAAATGACAATATAAACTATCGACTTCATTATGAAAGCGACAAAGCTTCAAAATTCGCTGAAGCCGGTGAGCCATCAACTCGAGATATTGGAATGCACACAGAAACTTCTTTAAACGGTCCCAAAAATGCGTCGTACAAAAGAAAATTGTCCTTTGCACCATTCGGAAGAAGCGATAAAAATAATCGCGGTCCATTATTTAGTGGTGTCATACCGAAACCTAGAAATGAAGGGGAATCTAGGGAACACAGGTAAACTCTTCAATTTTATATCAAAAACATAAATTCTCTTTTTCATCTAACAAAGGATATCTAATCTTTAACATTAGTCATCATAATTTACAGTGATGCCTGAACAAAAACAAATACTATATGTATGTTCAGTGTAATGTTCAAATTTCATTAAACAAAATTTATCATCATTCAATGAACTTTGGCACTGAATATTTATTTGCTTTACCATTTCTTTGTTATTGATATAAATTCTTGGTTCATGTCTCAGTGTCATATATAATTTGGTTACCTCAAGTAACAGTTCATATTTAATGTTGTATTAAGACATTATTTAAATATAACATTTCTTTGTTTGTGAATCAGTGACTATGTTAAGGTATAATAATATCTAAGACTTTTGAGTATTCATTAAAATAAAACTAATATTTTCTGATGTACTATGCATTTTTAATTATTAATATCTTTTATATTGTCTGCCCATAATCATGATTGCTACAAAGTAACCAAACATTGGGAGTATGTAGTTAAAAATGATAAAAAAAAACTCATAGTACATCCAAAAACATTACTTTTATTTATATATTAAGGTATTGTAATACTTATTGGTTTTTATTTATTACTATAATATATAATACAACACAGTTCTGGTTAATGCAAAATTTTATTTTATTTCACATGTCTTAAATCTATTTGGTATTGTATTTCAGAATAGCCTTATTCCCATTTTCTATAAAAAGATGTTTTTACCTAAGATATGCAATTTGCAGGTTTTTTTTACGGAATTGGCTTTATATCAAATAAAAAAACTATACATACATACTTTCCATGAACTATTACTTATGTGTCATTACTATTATATATTACATTTTTTTTTTAATTTTTATTGGATTTAAAAAATAGACAAATGGTTGATTATTTGATATAAGAATGTTTATAGATAAAGAACAAAAAGTTACAGTAATGTAGCATGGAACTGACTCTCTGTAAACACAATGAACACTGCTATGGATATTTCCTTAAATATAATTATTATTTTGTTTGCAATCATAATGTCCATTTATATTTATTGCCACTTAACATTCTTGATAACGATGGAACAAGTAAACAAGTTTCATTATGAATGTTTGAAATATATGTACATAATTATTGATAAATATTTCATACATTACTGGAAAGTTTACAGTACTGCTTATAAGTGAAGTAAAAATTTAGAAAATTGTTTATTTTATTTAAACAGAGACAATGTAAGTATGTATATGAAATATGTTTCAAAATAATATATTTTTTCATTTCACATTCACAGTTTATTTAATACATAATTTAAATTAGGTTTTTTGTTGGTATAAATGTGAAAAAAAATATCATTTTTTGTAAATATGTTTAATTGTATTTACGCTATGAAGTAAAATAACTAAGAAACAATTGGCTGGAATTAGACCTTTAAGAACAAGGAGGATATTGTGTTTCAATTGTTTTTACCAATGAGGTTATATGTATTTTGAATGAATTTAATGAATTGTATTTATAACAAAAATAAACTTTTTGTTTGAAGATATGAACGTTTCTCTCCGCGTGGCGGTTGGCTAGCGCGTACTTGGGAACAGCTAGGGAATTTGCTACCTGGGATGCTAGCCACAGCTTTGTTGTGCGCGTTATGCGTGGGCGCATGGTGGGCGGTGGGCGGAGCTCTAAGTGGCAGCTGGGGAGATGATCATTACAGGTAATATGATTTACAGAAACCCTAGAACTGATGTATAGACATTTTAGCTCATTTTTTAAGATCACATTAAGAATATCTTAATAGATGGTATTTTTTTAATATCATAGAATTTTATCACGTTAAATTAGTCCCAACCAAGTAATCTAAGTTACCCAGTTTTGCTTATATGGTTTAATTTTTATATTACAAATGTGAGTGATCCCTTTCAAGTTAATATTGTTCTCAAACATCTGCATCTTTTCTGTATCTTGACACGGGATATGTGGCGTTTTTACTTCCAGTTTCTATTATACAACTTAGATATAATAATCCATGATTATCTACCTATTCCTATTGGAAACTTCATCTTAAAATGAAATTGTTTGACTTATTAATATAACAACTTGATATTTTCTTCCCAGACGTCTCTACGAACGCGCTCATCCAGATGATATAAAAAAACCACTGTCGCCTGTGATTGAGAAGGTAATGTAAAATTTTAAACTTTGTAAATTCTCTAGTATTTTTTGTCATACACTTTCATTTTTTTTTGTTGATTTCCGTTCCTATGGTCATTCGATTTAACACTTCAGATTATACCAACTGAAAACCGATACCATGACCACAACAATTTGTCTACCAAGAACAAGAATATCACAGAAGCGGCTTATAAGAAGGATAATAAGAAAAGTGACTATAGCGATTTAGATCATCAGTGTGGTGATGTATCAGACAACATGAGGTTCGACTGTCACCCGCAAGGGGGCGCCAGTGAGGAAGCTTGTACACAACGAGGTATGGTTTTCGCTTTTAAAACTCCATTCGTAAATTCAGTACACTAACCACAGTCGGCATTGTCATACTATATATGCATAGTTTCAAATTTCTCATTGATCTGTTTTCAAACATGATTTTACAAACATAGGATTATAAATGAAAGACTGACAACTGTTTGTATATACCTTAGCTTGACTATACAATTCTTGATAGGGATTTTGATTGTGTTTGATATAATGTTATCAATATGATACTACAGATGTCTAGATGATATGAATTTATTTTAACTTTAAAAACAGATTCATTGTAAACACACTGTAATAGTGTTGTATCATAACAAAATGAAAATATTTAGTTATTATTAATTTTAATCTACTTATAATTACTTCTCAATATTTCTACTCAAGTAATGTCTTAAAATACATATTATTTAAATACATATTCTTTGAATACAGAAATGATGAAAATTAAACAGGGACCTAAAATATTATTTTATGAAAATATGTAACTGTCTGCACTCTTTTGTCACAATAATCAATTCACACCACATATCACTGTGAGTTTTGAAGTTGTAAGTGCACAATGCATCCAAAAATATTGACAGCCAAAATATTAGCTATGCCATAATGCAATAACTTGCAGTCCTATCATCAACAAAAAACCATAAGCAACCACAAATACATCTATATATCCATTAATTTATGTGGATTTCAAACATGCATACATCTATACTTCACATAGCCCATAACCATTTGTAAACCATTCATCTATATGTCACATAGCCCATAACCAAGTTATAACCATTCCTACATACAGGTTGTTGTTGGAGCTCAACCGCTGTACAGGGTGCTCCATACTGCTACTACCCCAAACACTATCCAAGCTATCGTTTCGTGAACAGCACAGAAAATAAACACAGCATGACTGTGTACTACACTCACGGATTGGACACAGGCTACCCGGGACAATGGGGTACTGTGATGATGACCTTTAACTACCTAGCCGATGATGTACTGCAAATAAAGGTGATTAAAACATATATACACAAGTTCAACTATTTAATGTGTAAAGTGAAGAGTGTTTGAGAGATTTGTTATAATATGGATGATAATTTTAAAGGTGGTAGAGCCTAGCTGTAGTCAGTTACTACAGCTCGAACATGGGCTGGCTCGACCGGGGAAGTACCACCCTCTCACAGAAGATCGGCGTGAAGTTGCCTTAAAGGCTGCGTTTCGTCTGATGAGTGAGAGCGCCGGTTGCCCTTTCCCTATTCCCACCCTTTCCTACCATCTCCTTATTCCCATCCCTCCCTATCCCTAAAAAACAAGGTTGGCAACGCATTTGCAACAAAAATGTTGCGGATGTCCATGGGCGACGGTAACCACCTTCACCTTCACCTTTCACATAAAAAATAATAATAATAATTTTGTATTCTTCCTAACGATGTTAATTTTAAAATCAACACTACAAATGTAAAATTAATGTTATATGATTATTGTTATCAAAATCTTACTTCTTATTTTTTAATGATGATGAATGTCTTAAAAACAAGTTTTAACAACTTTAATGATTATTTATCACCTGTGTGTGTTCAGATATCGGACGCAAACAACAAGAGGTTCGAACCCCCGTACCCCGAGGTGCCGGTGGTGTCTGGTCGTGTGTCCAGCTTACAGTACCGGGTGCTCGTTGACAGCAGCACGGTCGGTTTCAAGGTCATGAGGACAGACGACAACGTCACCCTGTTAGTATATATGTATATATAAATTTCGTGGCACGTGTTTGTCCGCGATGGACTCTTAAACTACTAAACCGATTTTAAATTTGGTTTGCATTCCGTGTGCATTTTGACCCAACTTGAAAAATAGGATAGCTTACATCTCAATTTATAGTCACAATATTTTTTTATTGCAAATTATTTGTCTATTAAAGAAAATTATTTGTCATTATTAAAATTATCTGTTGACTGAGTTTAGTATTAAAAATGCAAAGTCATATATGAGCTACTATTTAATAATAGCACAATCACCACGTGTTTCTGAGGGTAAGGTATAACCTAAATGAATTTATTTAAAAAAAACGTAACAGATATTTCTTGATTATAGGGCGATACGAAGTTATTATTTATATCTTTAAAAAATGACTATATAACCTTCATGGTATAATGGCAGAATATATTGGATATAAATAGATTAAAGTAGACAGATGTGTGCCCTTAAGCAATTATTTAATACTTTTATTCAGGCTGGTCGTTGAGATATTTACTTGGACGTCATAATAAGAAATGTTTTATTTTCAATATAATTAATATAATAAAAATATCTGTATATTTGTTATATTTCAGAGTCGATACACAGAACGTGGGTGGTTTGATATTATCGGAGAAATTTCTTCAGTTATCATCAGTACTGCCTACGGACCATGTTTACGGCTTGGGAGAGAAACAGGCGCCGCTCATGAATAACTTCAACTGGAACACATTTACACTATTCAACAGCGACATGCCGCCTATAGAGAATGTCAGTATGTTTATCACTAGATAGGATATAAACACATTTACTATAACTTTAATGTTATTTTAGAAAAGTCTCTATGGAACTCATCCTTTCTATTTGGCGTTGGAAAGAAGTGGGAAAAGTCATGGTATGCTCTTGTTGAATTCGAACGCTATGGGTGAGTTTTTTTGAATCTTTGGAATGAAAGGATCTCATAGTATTGATAATACAAAATATATCAAAAATAGCTTGAAACTTACATTTTTTTCAACTTTGTTTCAATAGACATAGTCCTGCAGCCTTCTCCTGCTATAACATATCGCTCGGTGGGCGGAGTCCTAGATTTCCTGGTAATGATGGGTCCTTCGCCCTCACAAGTCGTGTCTCAACTCACGAGCCTCATAGGCAGACCCTTCATGCCGCCGTATTGGGCGCTGGGATTCCATTTGTGCAAGTATGTATATTACTTGATAGTGATATAAAATATATTACAAGATTTTTAGATTTTTTGGCCAATATGTTTTTATTACGATATATAAGACTTGTATAATGATAATTTCTGTTTATATATCTAACCTGCTTTTGAAAATAACTATTTTACATATTGAAAAAACAAGTAACCTTTTTGAAATTTTTTGTAACTAAAATAACTAAGGTGCTTATGTACTTATTATGATGTACAAAATAATATATAGTTCTTCATATGTCACATAAGTAATTTTGCTAGTTAGATCCTTAATGGAATTTAAAGTCGAAATGCCCAAATATAATTCTAGAATCCCGAATGTAGTCGAAATTTAACAAAATTAAAGAATTTTTTTTTTGTTTATTTTGATATTACCATAGATATGACTACGGCAGTTTGAAAACGACCAGGGAGGTGATGCAGAGGAACATAGACGCCGGGATACCGCTGGTGAGGGAGATGATTATAGAACAAACATAAACACTAGATAGCATAAAATCGTAGAACAAGATAATCTAGGAATACACTTAATAAGTATATGAATAATGAGATTAAAACTCGCGAGTATTTAAATATAACTAATATTTTCGGCTTACTACTAGTTTTTATTTTCATCTAGTCTGCCCGTGATCACGGTTGCTGCAATGTAACCGAAACGTCGGGAGTATGTAGTAAAATAATAAAAGAACTCGTAGTAATCCGAAAATATTAGTTTTAATATATGTATGAGTGTCTGTAAGAGCGTTAGAAGTGAACCCTACTATTTTTTAACGTTCATGTTTGCTCATATAATTTATATGAATCTCATCAGCTCCTGCGAGGCTTTCTTGCTCTGATATAAAACAGTTAGGGCCAAAAACTTTGCATGTGTTCAAAACCATACAGAATTTTATAATTTAAAAATTAAAATTCGTCTTTATCTCCTTGTAGCAAGGCATATTTTCCCACGCTATACCATTCATAGCCATAGAATATCCTATATAAGAATTTACTGCAAGGTAAAAATTGTATTTTAAAACTTCTTTGTTGTCATCAACAGGACGCCCAGTGGAATGATTTGGACTATATGAGTACTGCAAACGACTTCACATACGACAAGAAGAAATACGAAGGACTGCCGCAGTTCGTTAACGAGATACATCAGAAGGGAATGCACTATGTAGTGCTTGTTGGTCAGTATTATAAACACTGGTATCACGATTCATAGAATACCAGGATATCTAATATCATAAGCATTATGTATGAAAAATCTAGGGATAAAAAAAATTGGTAAAAATTTTCAAGGCGAACTTTTTATGTCCATAAACGAGCCAAGATGTCCATAAACGACGTTAAATATTCATAATTGATATAAAATGTCCATAAACGACGTAAAATGTCCATAAACTACATAAAATGTACAAAAACGACGTAAAATGTCCATAAAGTACATAAATGTTCTAGAAATTTAAGGAATATGAGTTTGTTTTTTATATTCAGATCCTGGTGTGAGCGCCTCTGAAACTCCCGGCAGCTACCCGCCCTTCGACCGAGGGTTGGAGATGAACGTGTTCGTGAAGAACTCCACCGATCAACCCTTTGTGGGGAAGGTACTGGCTTTGTAATATATACATGATATTGTTATAGGAAATTAATATATTTGTACGTCTTTCTACCCAAAAAATTTACTTTTATTTCTCTTCATTGTATGTATACCTAAAAATCAACATCAGTTTTTGATATTTTTTTCCGTGAGCAATATTTGTGTCATGAATTTGTAAACATGTAATTTGACTGTTTGTGTGTAAGCTCGCGACAAATGTTGTATGAACTCATATTATTCGATCATAATGAAAAATACACCCTATATTTTTATATATCAAAGTTTTATATTATACATATAATAAACGATATTATTCCAGGTTTGGAATCCAAAGTCGACAGTGTGGCCAGATTTCACTAACCCTAACGCGTCGATTTACTGGAAGGAAATGTTGGCAGAGTTTCATAAACTGGTTAAATTTGACGGAGTGTGGATCGTTAGTATTATACTGAGAATTTTGTTATTTTCTGATGACATACTTACGAATATTAAAATGAGCTTAAAACTCACGGGGTGATATTGACTCAGTCCGTTAACAATAAATTGTCCAAACAACATAAAAGTTTTACCTGTTGAATAACTGTACTCATTTAGAGAAACAAAAGCTCTAATGGCAATAGATTCTTGAGAAACTGAAACCAAATCGCTTTAGTATCAATGAATTTGTCCGTGAATTTTCACTACTTGATTTTTATTCCAAGTACTAGAAGTCCCGGCGAACTTCGTATCGCCCTATAATCAAGAAATATCTGTTACGTTTTTTTTATATATATTTTGAAGTTTACCTATTAAAGCCAAAAATCTACGTGTCTTGAAGTGCGAGAGAATGATTGACATATTAGTTACTTGTCAAATCTAATGTAAAAAAAAAACCGTTTGTATCAACAACTACTAATAAATTAAATATTAATTTAAAAAAACATTGTCCAGCGGACAAATTTGTGAATCTAAACAATTCCCAGATCCCCTTGAACACACACACAAAAAATTTCATCAAAATCGGTCCTGTCGTTTGAGAGAAGTTCAGTGATATACACACTCACAGAATAATTATACATATAAAGATAAGCTCTACATATCTTTAATTATTATCATAGTTATATGAATATTTATTTATCTATATATGTTACATCCAGGATATGAACGAGCCGTCCAACTTCCTGTCAGGGTCTATGTACGGTGAATGTGAGCCGGAGGACCTTCCGTACAGCCCGGCGGAGATACCTCAAGAGGGTCTCAAGTATAAGACCTTGTGTATGGACGCCAAGCATTACGTTGGAAAGCATTATGATGTACACAACGTCTACGCTATGGCGGAGGCCGTTATCACATTCAAGTAAGTAATAATTCTCACATATATTGATAACTAGCTTTCCGACCGTAGCTTCGCCCGCGTGGAGTTCGATTATATCGCGTTCCCAAGAAAACCTTTCAAAAGTCGGGTATAAAAATTATTCCATGTTCTTTCTCAAGGTCAACTCTATTTCTGTACCAAATTTCATTACAATCAGTTCAGTAGTTTAGGCGTGAAAGCGTAACAGACAGACAGAGTTACTTTCGCATTTATAATATTAGTAGGGATTTGTACGTACTTAAAATATTATCTTTAGTTTCATATAAACTTTATTAAGATACGTTTCATACTTTCAATTCGGAAAAGAACTGTTTGGTTACTAATTATTTGTTAGCTCAGAAGCTGTTTTTATAATTAAGTCCAAACTAGGTTCTTAACTAAAGTTTAATCTTTACTTAGTAGATTTTTTATATTATGAATTCGTGTCAAGTTTTGAAATCGTGTATTAAGGGTCCAACAGTCAGATATCTACCAATGACCACTAATAATTTGGTTTGTATTCATATATATATATACCTCTTTTTATTGTACCTATTCCACATTTCTCTTCTCATATCCTCTATCAAAAGGGTTTCTCTCTTTTAAGACGTAAGTTATCTTTTGTACATCGCATTTCTTTTATAATACTGTAATTGTAACTATTTTTTTTCCCTTTTGGTACATAAATAAATAAATAATAATTTTCCATTACCCAGTGCGATGCGTGAGGTCCGCGGTAAACGTCCGTTAGTGTTGTCTCGAGCGTCCAGCCCCGGTCTGGGGAAATTCGCTGCCCACTGGAGCGGAGATGTCTACAGCAAGTGGCACGACCTAAAGATGTCCATACCTGGTGAGATGAAATATTACATATATAGTAAGATAATAGGTTTTGTGAAGGCATTAGGGCTACAAAATCAAAGGTCAAGCCTCACTCTATCGTTAAAACGACTACGGATTGGACTATGCATCCGTATGAGAAGCAATATAAAAATTTATGTATTCGTGAATTTTAATGGGGCCCAAGGTTCCTTGGGAAATAAAATCCCAAAAGACCACGTCCACAAATTAACTCATTAAGAGTAGGTTCGTTGTAAGTTTGTACGCGGTAGAAATTGAAGCGATAGGTGTAACATCTAAATCTCTCCACAGTGTACTAAAAGACTTGGGCCTGTCCAGTACTAACATCAATTCATTATTACAACATACTTCGAAGGCAGCCCTAGTAGGCTCTTTTCAAATTTAGTTAGGTAGAGAAGAGAGCTTCAATCCGCTGTAGATAGAGGTCCGTTAAACCTATACCTGGGTCGCAAGTCCTAGGCACAGTTGAACCTCCTCTCTCTACAACACGATCGACCCGAACTGTGAATGTATTGAATTGAATTGACTTAAGAGGAATTCTTCTTCTACTTAAAATTGAAACCTTATACTTACTTTTGATACAACTGGTGATTCATATTCTTCAATGACTTGCTTTATTATTTTTCTAAAGATATATTTTGCGTGGAGTCAGAAAACTTCCTTCCATATTATTATAGATTTAATTGCACTTTCCGTATTCATAAAACTAATAAAGTAATTTTAATTTCAGCGCTGCTGAGTTTTAGCTTGTTCGGCGTGCCACTGATGGGTTCCGACATCTGTGGTTTCATCGGCGATACTTCTGAAGAACTTTGCAAGAGATGGATGCAGCTTGGTGCCTTTTATCCATTCTCAAGGAACCATAATTCCAATGATGCTAAGGTATCATTTCATATTGAATTTTCTCACAATTAATTTTAAGTTCAATTTCATGTTGGACCTAAACTTAAATCATTATGTAAAAACTATGTAGCAAATCTGGTTATTTAAAAGGAATGTCACCGAGAGTAAAGGAATTTTCCTTTTCATGCACATTCACGTTAAGAAAATGAACCAACTTGACCATACGCATAAGAATTGTTTAAAAAATATTTAATTACGTCACTAGATTTTAGGATAATATTGACGCATAATGGACAAAAAGGACTGCAGTGATGAAAAACATTAATATTAAGCATTAAAAGCTACCTTTCTTAAGTTAGTTAAATATCAATATCCTTCATAGCCTCAAGATCCAGTTGCCATGGGTGCAGAAGTAGTGAGAGCAAGTAGAATAGCGCTCCGCACGAGATACAGAATGCTGCCATACTATTACACGCTGTTCTGGAAAGCCCACGTGGAGGGGGAAACGGTCGCCAGGCCGCTGTTCATGGAGTTAGTATTAAGGATTGAACGATGCAGAATAATTTAACTAATAATACTGTAAAGCGTATTACTACGATATTGATTTTATCATCACCCATACAATAAGTAATGTATTCATTAAAAAAAAAAGTCTACTTCAATTTTATCATAATAAACTACTTGATATTGTATACTACACTACACCATAAATATGTATTACAATTAAGTAATTAATTAATTTCTGGAAGAGAACTCTTGTTAGAGATAAGTCATCCCTTTGTACACATCTGTCATTAAATAATTTACTGTATTCTTTGTTGGTACCAAAATAAAAAATAAAAAGAATCAGATTGGGGCGTTAATACGACCAAATAAAATTACCTTTAATATTCTGTTTGAAATGACATTTACGATTTTAATATATTGTTTATATGATATATACAAATGTTCATCTGTCCAGGTTTCCGTCGCTAAGTAAAGTCCATTCAATCGACGAGCAGTTCATGTTGGGTCCTCACGTGTTAGTGAGTCCTATATTGACTCCCGGGAACTCGACCACAGCGTTGTTCCCCTCAACCACGTGGTACAGCTTCTTAGATGGAAGATATCTGGCTAAAGATCGATGGATGGAAATAGGAGAAGGGGATATCATATCCATTAGGGTTTGTCATGTTATCCTACTAATATTATAATTGCGAAAGTTTGTGAGTGTGTGTGCTTGTTTGTTACTCCTTCACGATCAAACGGCTGAACCGATTTTATAAAATTTTGGTATACAGGAAGCTGATATCCAGGAATAACATATAGGCTACTTTATATCCCGGAAATCACGAAAATCCCGGAAATCCGCGGGTAATACCGCGGGGCGCAGCTAGTAATATAGTAATTATAACAGTAAAATACTGTATTGAAAGTCACTGTACCGTTTCTTATTTAATATGGTCCATTTCAAGTACATATATCATTATCATCATCAGAGCCCACTGCTGAGCATAGTCTTCTCACATATATAATATTTTTTCACTCCTGTATACGCCCAAAATAACCCTTAATTATATCCATGATTGAGTTATATCTTTTAATAATAATAATAATAATAATAAATTTTATTCGTTAAAAGATTACACCACTACAAAACAAACAACAAAATAAAAACAGAGTAACACTTATCACATGTATACAAAAAAAAAGAAAATAAAATAACAACTACAACATGACAAATGTTAAGTTGAAAAATCAATAACAACAATAATAAGTGTGCAGCAGTGTATTTTAACCAAAAGGAGAACCACTCAGTGAAAAATAGAAGCAATGTTGCTTCTACGCTGATTTTCAGTGATCTCCTAATGTTGCGGCACTGACAGCAGTAACAATTACATTAAATATGGTTTTTTCTTCTAATTCCCTAGGCGGGTGCGATCCTTCCACTCCAAGAGCCCCCGTCCAAGGGTCCCGTGAACACGGTCGTGAGCCGCAGCGGTCCTCTCCAACTGTTAGTGGTTCCGGATAAAGAAGGAGTAGCCAACGGGCAGCTTTACTGGGACGACGGAGACAGCATTAGTAAGTATAGCATTATGAACCTACATTTTTTCGGATACTACGTATAGATTTCCTTAAAGCAAAAGTGATCATCTGTAGACGTCGGAATTATGCTGTATTAATATAATAAAAGAACGCGTGGTATACGATAAACTTTGTTTCATTTTAATGAACACACGGGAATATCGCAGATATCAGCAGTATAGGACAGTATTTATTAAAAGAAACTTTTTTTTTTGGTATTCCATATTCTTCAAAGAATAAGATGGTTATGAATTGTCTCATATGTGTTAATAATATTAATTTGTGTCGCTAAGTATATGTAATGGTCTATTGTTTATAATTCTGATGCATTTCATGGATTGTCTGTCATTCAAATTCACATATTGAACAGATAATCTAATTGATATAATTTATTTTGAATTTATCTCAATCTTATGTGGATCTTTTAAATCATAGAATTTACGGGCAGTGTCGATAACAGTATGAATAATAATTTCTTAGACTTTGTTAATAAAATCTTATCTTATATATTTATAACCTTATTGATAAAAATCTTTCAAGAGGTTTAAGCTTTTTAGATATATAGATATTGTCATATATTATACTAACAATGAAAGAGCCCATTAGCTTATAGCAAACTTCACTATACAGGGTGTATGAAAAACTGTGTCAACCCTCTTAACTACGTTATCAGTATCGATAATGTAACACAATAAAACAACTTACATTTACAAACTCTTCAAAAAAAATAATAAAATTAAATAATAAATGATTATTATATGTAGAGTAACAAAATGTTTGTAAACCCTGGTATAACACGATGACACGCAATGACGTCATCACAGCTGCTGCGCTACTAGTGACGACCTTGAAGTTACTTTCACATTATTGAAAATATCGATATTTAAAAAATCATAACAATAAATAAATATTTAATATTCATATTATTTCGATACTTATTTTGATATATCAAACATTATTATTATGTTTGATTGTAAAACACCATTTTTAACAGAAATAGATTAACGATTTATCCTAATAATACAACATATGTAGTTAATTTACCTGAACAAGTTTCAAATTATAATATTTATTATTAATAAAAGTTATTTTAAATGAAATTATTTTAATGTGAAAAGCATAACTATTTATAGCAATATTGAAAATGTCGATAGAATATTTATCGATATAACAAATTTTTACACGTTCAAATCTCTATTCGAACAACTAACAGAATAGTAATAATAACGCCGGCGGCCCGGCGCCCGCGGTCAATGGTCACGCATGCGCCGTTGCGACTATACGGTGTCTTGACCTTGTATGAGTCAGATGTTTGGTAAATTTTTTCGAATAACGTCGATTTAAAACTTATTTAGCCTATGCACTGTAACTGACCTCTGCTTGATATTTTTTAAGTTATACTATTTTTTATAATAAGCTTATACTTATATGTATACATGCCTTCAAGGGTTGACACAGTTTTTCATACACCCTGTATATATTAATCACAGTATTTTGTAATTTTCAGACACCTATGAGGAGAAAAAATATAGCCACATTGATTTCATTGTGAAGAACAATGAGCTACAGAATATTATACAGTGGTGGGGATATGGGGTCCCGTCTCTCAATTCTATTTCCATACTGGGGATGAAGCCATTAAAATCTTTAACCATTAACGACATCCCAACCAAATACACTTATATCAACAAAACTCAAGTTGTTACTATCTCTTCCATAAATCTGCCATTAGATAAAACGTTTCGTGTCAAATGGACCTTCCAAAAAACGGGAAAAATATAATTTGAATTACATTTCGTAAAGAAAATTATATTAAACATTAATTTGTGGTAAAGGTAAGTGTATTTTAAATTGCCATATCTTGGTAGGTATAACCACAAAGTGTTATGATTAGTTCAATTTGACTGTGGCTTTTGTATTTTTTGCCACATTGGCCACAAATACCATATAGTGAAATGAAACAATGCCATAAGATTTTTTATAAATATCCCTGTCATAAATAATTGTATAGGTAATGTTTAATAAATTACATGTTAAGTGACACACATTTATAATAGATAGATATATCATATCTTATCAAATAAATCTTAATAAACTAAATAATTATATTGTATGTTTAAATAAATGAAAAGAGACATACTAGGAAGAAAGATCTCATAATTTATAAGGAAATTATGCCAATTATACCAACAATATTGTAATTATATTTTTAGTATATAATGTAAGTATGAACTCATATTGATATTTGTTATTATAAAGAATTCAATGTAAGATACAAAAGTTCTCCTTATAATATTTCAAATACAATAAGGCACAGATTGGAATTCATCTATTTAAGTAAAAGAATAGTAATGTTATATCTATGTACTTTTACTTAATTTTCACTCAAATTAATTAGAATACAATTTAAATGTATGTGTTGTTAAAAATAATTACATAGTAAAATATAATTATTCTGTGCTTTGAGTGTATCTTGATGTGTGCCAATCACATTGTATTCATTTTATATTTGTTGAAGATATTATTGAAGGGTTGTTATATATTAATTTATAGTGCGTTTGGTTTAAGCTGAGCTTTGCATTTGTGTGAGTGCACACGGATAGTGTAGGTGTGATGTCAAATTTTTGAATGCATTTTTGTACTGGTAGCAATGTCAAATGTTGAAAACGCAATGTCAAGTGAAGATGAATTTGTATTGTTTTTTCAAAAATTTTATTATTTAATGTTTTTTTCCATAATATTCATAATATTTGGATCCGGCCTTTTACAAGTTTTGCTTATTTTATAGTACTTATGTTATGTATCTATATAAAATATAATAATATGTAATTCTAAAATTTTTTTGTCTAACTCTACTTTTACTTTCACTCACACAAATACAAAGCTCAGCTTAAGACTAACGGACTATACCTCCTCATTACTTATACAGTAAAATATTTAAAATGTTTGTTGCCAGCTTTGTTAACCTTTTTATAATACATAGATGTATTATTTGATATTTTTTCAAGTGATCTGTGATGTTTTAACTTCAGATTTAATATGTTGTGTAATTTTTTTTATAATATATATATTAAATTTACTAATTGTGTGTATGTTTTCATAACATTAATTAATTTTATAAGTAGTGGTAATATTAGTGGGATATTTTTAGTCTGCATATTAATACAAATGACTTATGGTATATTTTACTTATTTGCTCACTATCTCTGAGTGTTGTCCTTTTTTAATTGGTTTTTATATAAATGCTAATTATGGAATTGATTTAAAACAATATTGATGTTTTTTTTGTTTATGCATTTTTATATACACTTTCTTCAAATATAATGTATAGCTCAATTATTGCTGTTTCATTCAAAAATCCTATTATATGTGTTAGTTAATGATTATAGAAGCGAAATAGGTATGAAAATAAGAAAATAGGAAGTCATCAACACTATTTATTTGCCTTACACATGTACAGCAACAATCAAACTAAAACAATATTCAATGTTCCTTTTCAACATCGGTTTTCAAAAATGTCTCATACTGCGTATCGGTCATGAGATCCTTTAACTCCTCTGGTTTTGATAACTTGAGTCTAAACAGCCAACCTTTTTCATAACAAGATGTGTTAATCAAGCCAGGTTTGTTTTCTACGTCACGGTTTTTTGCTGTCACAGTTCCACTAACAGGGGAGTATATTTCGCTAGCTGCTTTCACACTTTCTAAAGCCCCACACTCATCACCAGCTTTAACCTCTGTGCCTACATCAGGCAGCTGTGCAAACACAACGTCTCCAAGAGATTCCTGTGCATAATTACTTATTCCCACTGTGCCAATGTTATCTTTTACAACAACCCATTCATGGCGGTCTGTGAATTTTCTCTCCTTAGCATCAGAATTATATCTATATTGAAGTTTACAGAATGTTACGTTCACATTTTTCTTTAGTAAACTCTGCCGCGATATGCACTGTTTAGTCAGTTGAATTAAACACCTTTGCCGAAGCATAATAGCCTGAAAAATAAATATTAAGGTTAGAAATCTGGGCCCGCCCAGCGTCAACTATCACGTAGCTTAACTATAATTTGAGTATGTTGTTAATGAGATATTAGTTAAACAGGAGATAAAGATGACCTCCGAACTATTTACACAATGTGCAATGACATTTATATAAAATAATTTTTTCTTGCTTATAATTTTCTTATATATTATCTACTTGGTATTCTTTGAATGAAATAAGAATATTTTATATGCATCGTCTAATATTTTTTCACCGGATAAATTCTTTAAATTGTTAAGCCGAAATTCAACATACGTTTTCCTATTTCAGGGTAGTATTATTAATAAAATTGTGCGTTAAATCTTTATTATTAACACTAATGATCTATTACTTTTGGAGTGATTAAATAGATATTTAAAAATAATTAATGAGTTATAAACTGTTGTATTTTGAGGTTGACATTACACAGCTGATTACTAAATGACAAGTTCGTGAAGTTTTAATTTTTATCATCCGTAAGAATAAGAAAGTAAGTAATATATATCGTGTGATATAACTGTTTTATCAAAAAGTAAAAGCAATTGTAAAATTTATTAAAAAATATAAATTGTAACATTTTTATTTCAATACTGGCAATATTTAATTTTTGCAGGTTGCAATATGAAATATTTATCAACACAAAATACAAATGACAAAAACGTCATTGTTCACATAACCATGACTGAAAGATGTCAAAAAAAGTTTACAGAAAAAATTCTTAATCAAAATTATATTATTTTTACTGGAAGTTTTGTGGCTTTTTTAGCTGTATTATATTTTTACAGGTACTATGAATGAATAGTAAAAATGTATGGGTGGTTCTAGTGTAATGAAGCATTTAAGAAAGTTAGTTGTTTCAGATTTCACCTGATCACAATAATAGTAAGCTATGTGTTGGGATGTATGGCTTGTTATTATGGACTTCAGATGAACATTTTCCAGACATTCTTAGAAACGATTACGTGCCATTTTATTAGGAAGCTGCCCAGTCGGGATCAGAAAAAAACTTCTGTCAGAGTAAGTTTTAGTATACAATAGTTTTTCATATTTGATTATTACACTAATATGTCACTGTACCAAATAGCTATAAATGAAATATTGTTTTAGTAAACCATAATAAAAATTAATATTTTTAATACAAAAGTGAAAAAGTAACAAACAATGATTGTAAACTTAATAATCATGATTTTGCTCATAGTCAATTTATTGCTGACATTTGTGGGAAATCACTAATGTACAATCAATTACCAATAATTATCATTATACAGTACAAATATTTAATTGATTTAAAGGTTACATTCAAAATCTATGAATAGTTATTTTTGAACCATAATAAAATTAACAAATTGAATGTTATGTCTATCATTAAATATTCAATACAATATTTTTTTTATTAATATCTTCAGATTTGTAATGCTTGCGATGCTCCTAATTGTAGTCGCCACGACCCAGAGTTATTACCCGATCCCTGGGTTGGATTACTCATTCATAAACAATTGGACCAGGCTATTGAAGATGTAAGTTGAAAAAGGGTTTTGCTTTGACAATTATGATAAGGGTTCAAATTATAGCGGTCTCTGTTGTCCATTTAATTATATGAAACTTGATTAATATTAGTATTTCAAAATATACTTGACAATACTGTGGATAGGAGTTCAAATTATAGCGGTCTCCGATATCCGATTAATTATATAAAATTTAACTCATATTAGTATTTCAAAATATACTTGACAGAATACTGTGGATAAGAGTTCAAATTATAGCGGTATCTTTTGTCCATTTAATTATATGAAACTTGATTCATATTACTATTTCAAAATATACTTGACAATACTGTGGATAAGAGTTCAAATTATAGCGGTATCTTTTGTCCATTTAATTATATGAAACTTGATTCATATTACTATTTCAAAATATACTTGACAATACTGTGGATAAGAGTTCAAATTATAGCGGTATCTTTTGTCCATTTAATTATATGAAACTTGATTCATATTACTATTTCAAAATATACTTGACAATACTGTGGATAAGAGTTCAAATTATAGCGGTATCTTTTGTCCATTTAATTATATGAAACTTGATTCATATTACTATTTCAAAATATACTTGACAATACTGTGGATAAGAGTTCAAATTATAGCGGTATCTTTTGTCCATTTAATTATATGAAACTTGATTCATATTACTATTTCAAAATATACTTGACAATACTGTGGATAAGAGTTCTAATTATAGAGGTCACCGATATACAATTAATTATATAAAATTTAATTCATATTACTATTTTAAAATATACTGGACAGTAGACATTGAATGTTTTGTTTGTATGAGACCTTATAACTGTCTTTATCTAGTTGGAAGGCTTCATTTGATGTAAATTTTTACTTGTAATTATTAACTATGCTAATGCGAGAAGTCACTGTTCTTGTTATACAATTCCTATCAGAAATCATTGCACTTTGTTATGAGTTTAATAACTGGGGATGTTGATGATATTTATATATATAAATTTTTAATCATTATAATAGAAATAAACAAAAACAATGTATGATGGTAACTCAATAAGGAAAAATTATAATTACTAATAATCATTAAGTGGTCATTCATTCAGTTAATCATTTTTTATATCAAACAGAAATAAGATTCAAGTTTGAAGATAGTTTCAAATAAATAAATGTTATGTTTTTCTTTCAGTTTTATAACAGAATTTTAGAGCAATTTATTAATACATGGTACAGCAAAATAACTTTGCAGCCATTTTTTATTGATGAACTTCGACAACAGTTGAGATATGCTTCGGCATGTTTGTACAGGAGAGCTCTTACAGTAAGTGGATGTTATTGTTACTGAGAAATATATTTCATATCATTTGGTCAGGACTTATTAAGTGGTTTAATCAAATTCAAATAATTTGATTAAACAATAATAGATACTGTTACAATTCAGGAACTATTGAAAGTCTTGGTTTATATGTATATACAACTAACTTTTCAGAATTTTTTCAAAGTATAGGACTAAAAATTAATATTGTGTGAAGAAATTAAAGTAAGTCTTATGTATAATGTCTTATAGAGAACAATTCTACAATGTAATATCTTATTCTTTGTAACTTTAACACATTATTTTGTGTTTTTTTAGGAATAAATATGTTTTACATATAAGGAATGATGAATGTTATTATTAAAGATTTGATATAAATAATTATTTCCTTTTCATAGATAGATCCAGGAGTGTTCCTATTCAGTCGGCTGGTCCCATGCGCGTTACGTCACGTGTCGCTGCCCCCGGCCGCCACTCACACCGCTCTCAGTTCGCGCGCATCTGAGCTACGCTATCTGAGATGTCTGTCTGATACACTGCTGCCATATCTATTACGACCGGCTGATTGTCATAATGAGTGAGTTTATTGGTTTGAAATATTTATTTTTATTCAGTAGCTTAGATGAAGGTGAATAGTAGTTAATTTTTCGTCATATTTGTAGTCCAGTGATTTGAACTTTTACTGTTTTGAAACAAAACTCTGTAATCAATGTCCTTCCTTGGCTCGCCTTTTTAGTTAATTTTACATTAATTTTATTTCCTTTGCCATTTTTTTTTTTATATAATGAGAGTATTTGATTTTTTCTACTAAAATCAGAGTAATGTTTCAAAGGTTATTGTATATTAAAAAGCGTAATTATAATTTGGGATCTGTATCATACAGAAAGCTCTTTAGTAACAACACCTAATACTAATATTATAAAGCTGAAGAGTTTGTTTGTTTGTTTGAAAGCGCTAATCTCCGAAACTACTGGTTTGAATTGAATAATTATTTTTGTGTTGGATAGTCCAGTTATCGAGGAAGGCTGTGGGCTATATAACATCACGCTAAGACCAATAGGAACAAAGATATAGTGGTAAATGTGTAAAAAACGGGAGAAATTATTTCATCTTTGAAGCCTTCCGTTGGGTGCGCCGTGAAAACGGTTCAAGATACACAAAAAATATGTATTAAAGAGTAATAGCTCTTTTAATGATCTAAAAAACAGTCCGCGACAGTATATGTCTATCTTTTGAGATTAACTCACAAAAACCGTTTTTATGGTACCTAATTTGGTCGAAATAATTTAAGTTGTATCAACATAATATGTAATATTAATCTTTATTCAAATAAACAAATAAATATGTTGTTAATTAAGAGTACTTCATTGTGAATAAAAAAAAACATAGGTTTTATTCTGAAAATTCTACGGGAACTCGACCATTCCGAAAACCCCGCAAGAACGGGAACTATGTGGGAAGAACCAAAAATCTGCCGGAAGTCACTATTCCACGCGGACGAAGTCGCGGCAAAAGCTAGTGTTAGAATAAACTCGTCGCGATTGGCAGTCCGGATAATCGCGAATTCGGATAACCGAGGTCCGGATAATCGGGGTCCTACTGTACTTAGTATATTAATGACCCACCTATGTGTAGAGTGTTCCGAACATTAGTTCGTGAGCTAGTGTCGTGGTGGGTTCTCTTGCCGCTGGTGGACGTGTTGGCCGACCCCTACACCCTCAACACACTCCTTCTGCTCCTCACTGGGGATGACACCATGGCGCCGTTACCCGCCACGCCAGATTATAAAGTGAGCTTTAACATCTAACTACCTTCAAATTGTCACTAAAGCAATGTTTACGTAATACTTTAATTGAAATTCAATGTTGATCGATATTATATTAGTTTCTTTTTGGTATTAATTTTGCAATTTCCTCATTCTAATCATGAAACAAAAGACTTACCAAAGACCAAAATTTTTTGATGTCCAAAGACTATGATTCATGTTGATTTTTTCGTAAACTTGCTTTTCAAGAAACTTAATTCTTCTGTACATAGTCGACTTTATTCCACATCTATAGCGATGCCCTAACGAATATACAAAGATTCTTATTACGAATAAAGACGTGTTTAGATCCTTTTAATTATAATGGAACTGCTCAAGGAATGGTCAATCTATAATTTTACATACCATAACACTACTGATTTGTTTGCACTATTTGAAATCTATAATATTTCCATGTATTCACCAGGTAGAGTTCTTAGAGTGTTTCGTCCGTCAGTCAGAGTGTGTGTATTCATCGAGACCTCGTCTGCTTCGCGTTCAATTGGAACCATTAGTTCAAGAGTCAAGCGCTCTATACGCGCTACTACAATACCTAAAAACAACACCTCATTTACAGCTCCTACAATTCTACCAGGACATCAGTGAGTATCAACAGTTATATTCGTCTGCCAAAAAAATGTGATTGCCAGAATCTGGTTTATCTTCTAGAGTCGTTTCAAACTCGAATATTAAACCCCGAGCTGAGTGTATCGGAACAGGAATCTCTCCAGCGTGAAGCTGAGGAGTTGTTTTCGAGATACAGAAGTAGCGGACATCACGAGCTCATACACGAGATGGAACAATTGATGAAGGAGGGAGGAGTCAGGAGGTGAGGGGAACTTGGGGAGGAATGATCTACTATATTAAGGACTAAAAAGTAACAAGTGGCCCATGTATTGTAAAATTTTGTTTTCTTCTTTAGAAGAGGAGTTATTAGGGTTTTCGATATATGCTTTTATCGTATGTATATATAATATTATATGTGAATTTGTCTCCGCAGACTTCAGACATCTCGTGCGCTATACCAGGCTGCAAGACAGGCGCACAGTGCCCTAGAGAAGATAATGCTACCAAAATTTTTACATAGCGAAGAAGTAATTACATACATCCGATTATTTATATCAAATGATTATATAATGATCATGTCATTTCACTTTTCAGTTCTACAAATTATTAATAGGTCCGAGATTGCCTGTTGGATATCACAAACAGATGTCGAAGAGGTATGTACTGTGATATGTAATGATAATGAGATCTAAGTTTTTCGCGAGTTTTATTCATTTAAATGAAACTAATATTCTTCGGATATACTACATAAGCGACTTTATTTTTGTAAAAAAAACTACATATTCCCAGAGTTTCGGCTATTTTCAGCAACCGTGATTTTGCGCTCAGACGAGATGTGACACATTGGAAGTATGTAGTTTTTTACAAAATTAAACTCGCATACTAAAAATATTAGTTTCATTTAAATACATAATGATACTTATGGTGTAGTATGATATTAGTCATAGTACATGACTGAAATATATATGCGGATATATCATTAGTATATGTAGTAATTAATACGAAGACATATATTCCAGGTCGGAAGATAAGCAGAATATATTGAAACTCGGTGTGAGGATAAAGAACGCTTTGAAGCAGCAGGAGGTGGACGGGCAGCTGGAGATGACGTCACACATGGAAGAAGAGGAGGGGATAGAGAATATTGACATACTACAGTACCTGGACTCACTCGCCGCCGAGGACTCGTTGGAAGAGGACCTCAGCACGTACAAAGTGGTCCTCACTAACGTCGAATCTACATTGGTGTGTATGGAAACGTATTAATAGGCCAAGAGCCCCTTTTCCCAAAAGGGTTGATGTCAGGCAGGCGGCCGGTCGTAAAAACAATTAGCCAAAACTATTCACAACATGTAAGGCAGACCCTGGCTATAGCTGGGAAATTGCCAGGAAGAAGAGGCCAAGAGCCAGCGACCGCCAAGCCTTCATCATTTTATAAAAGCTGAAAGTTTTTCTATAGATGCACCCAATACAGGTAGTCACGATCCCCACCTATGAAACTTGGGTCGCGGTGGCTTTGGCAGGTAACAGGTAATAAAGGTGTATAAAATTGTCTTTCAAATTCCTCATAGTATAAAACTCAGCTTTTATAAAATAACGAAGGCCTGGCAGTCGCTGGCTCTTGCTCTATAAATCATGTTTCAAAATTAAACATTACATTCGAAGTTCAAACTCCGTATCGGTTCTAAAAATACAAGACCGTATAAAAGATACGTTAGCAGTTTTATCCATTAGCGTATATTACTTTTGATATATCAATATTAAGAATTTAATCATTATTTTATACTAACTTCCGCCCGCGTCGAGTTCGGTTATATCGCGTTTCCAAGAGAACTTTTCTAAAGTCTGGGATAAAAACTATCCTATGTTCTTTCTCAAGGTCAACTCTATCTCTATACCAAATTTCATTAAAATCAGGTCAGTGGTTTAGGCGTGAAATTTGTAGGGATTTTAGAAGTTTTGGTTTTTAAAATATCAGTAATATATCAATTATCAACTATGTATTTATGATAATAATGAGTATTCCATATATTATTTAAAGATCTACTCCCGCCGAAGCCGAAGGATCGTATTTTTAACAGTGGAGTACTATTGGGTTATTGTGTTGTCTTTATAGTTGGCTAGAAATTACTCACACCAATTTTAAACAATTGTAATTGGCTCCATATTTGTTTTGGTTCTCTTTACCGCTCTAAACTATTGTAATTTCACAAAATATTTTACAGTATATATTGGGGCCAAGGTTAGAAAATACAACAAACTATCTTATAAAAATGATAGATTCCAAATTCAAAAGTATTTTTTCATATAATATTATGATTTACTGTCACAGTATTTATGGCCAGATCTAATTTTTATATATTTAATACATGAGCTACTTTTAGTCTGTAGATTTCGCTATGTGTGATGTGTTATCGAACATTTATTATCCTCTATATAAAGTGCTGTTCCGCTATTTTCAGTAATATATAATTGTTTCATTACTATCAAATCAGAACTGTTGTCAATTTTTTTTTATAGTTCGCGAATCCTAGTAAATGCCAGATAGCTCGAGATTTCCGGTCCCACAAAGGCCGGTTGGACGGCTCGTGAAAAGAGTTTCCCTGCGATATCAAAAAAAAATATAGCTCGAGCCTTATATTGTGTTTGAAAAAGAAGGTTGTATATTAGAGTTTATTAAGTATTTCTATCTCTTTCCAGCAAGCCCCGCCCCGCCGTGGTCCGGTGCGTGTGTTCACATTAGCCGTGCACCGCGCGGGTCGTTCTATGGACGTTGAGGCTGCCCTGTGGCGCGTCAAGCGGAGCGAGCACGACTTCCACCTGCTGCGGGCCAAGCTGAGGGAGTTCCATGGAGACGCGCTGGCGCTGCAGCAGCTGCCGTCTAGGAGGTCAGCGGTGTAGTCGCTTTATTGTATACTATGTATACTAGAAGACCCGGGGAACTTCGTATCGCCCTATAATCAAGAAATATCTGTTACTTTTTTTTTATTTACATTTTTCGAGTTTACTTATTAAAGCCATAAATCTCCGTGTTTTGAAGTGCCACAGAATGATTGACATCTTAGTTAGCTGTCAAATCTAATGTCAAAAAAAAAAACGTTTGTATCAACAACTACTAATAAATTAAAAATTAATAAAAAAGACCAATGTCCAGCGGACAAAATTGTGAATCTAAACCATTCACAGATCTCCTTGAACACACACAAAAAAATTCATCAAAATCGGTTCAGTCGTTTGAGAGAAGTTCAGTGACATACACACTCACAGAAGAATTATATATATAAAGATTATTCGCGATAATTACAGAATGCCACTGGCTTCCTAGTGAGTTGTTGTAATTTGTCGTATATTGGAGGATCAATATATCTCTGGATGACCAAGAATCTGTTTCAATTAATGCATATCATAGTATAAATATCAATAAGTTAATGTTAAAATTGCAGAAGATGTTACATCTCAATAGGTTAAAACGTCTTTAATTTTCTTTGTATATCATATATTACAATATAAAGTTCTTTTATATTTACATTTCTTAAATAATGTTTCCATCGTGTGTAAGAGTGATCTGAAATGTGTACAAAACTGGTTTGTACTGTTCTTGTCGGTCTTTTGTTAAAAAATAGTTAATATTTGAAGTAAAATTTGTTGTAAGTGTGATAGTTATTATATGCGCCGACTCATCACTATGTGTGTTAGAAACGAGCTGGCATCAAAAATTGTACATTAATTTTATACTAGTCGATTATTAATAATGTGCTTACGGTACTTTGAATTTAAAACTCTTTCAGTAATATAAGATATAATGATAATTCTTCATATATGAAGAAAATGTTGTATATTTCCAGTGAAACCGTTATCAGTAGCAGTTTATTTTTTACATATTTCTTCACTAATATCAAACAATCACTTAATTTCTTATATTCCCAACAGAGACAACAGTCCTCTAGAGACTCTCCGCTACAAGTACGAAGACTTCCTCCAGAGACTGCTCCAAGTCTCCCTACTCCAGACCAGCGAGCTCCTACATTTATTCCTCACAGTTGATGGAGACTTCTCTTTAGTGGTCCAAGCGTCAACCCTGAATGCCTCTAACACAGACCTCGGAAATATTTATCAGTCCGTGGCTCATAAACTACGGAAGGAAAAGGGACAACACTTAGAAAGCTTCCTCAGAAACTTTCTGGTTTCGTCTGATAAAGAACGTTATCAGGCTCTGTAAGATTATCAATTCATTATTATTACGTATTATGTAGTTGGAATTGCATAAAAACTAAAATTATATCTGAAAACCTATATTTATGTAAAAAATCATATTACAAGACTTAATCCCTACTAATGTTATAAATATGAAAGTAACTCCGTCTGTCTGTCTGTTACGCTTTCACGCCTAAACTACTGAACTGATTTTAATGAAATTTGGTACAGAGATGGAGTTGACCTTTAGAAAGAACATAGGATAGTTTTATCCCAGACTTTTGAAAGGTTCTCTTGGAAACGCGATATAACCGAACTCCACGCGGGCGAAGCTAAGGCGGAAAGCTAGTTTATATATATATATTGGATTATGTGGTAACACCAGTAGAGAATTGCATGTTGATTTTTAATCAAGGGAAAATTTAGTTATTTTAAATGTATTTTATTGTTTTAGAAAACAAGGAACCCAAGTGGAGGAAGCTCACGAAGTGAACGAAGAAGACACGGAAAAGATCGTTAAGAGACAACACAACGTGCGGAGCATACGGTCCAGTGTGTTTGGGAACAACTTTGATACGGAACAGGAAGAAGTGACAAACATACACACGGACTACCAACAACACGTGGTCGGCTTCACGCAGTGCTTCATGTATCTATGTGAGTTATTATTTATTTATTATTTTTTGCTCCATACATACATTACATATACCTATTATACAGTTATACAGAAGAAAAAAAAAATAAAAAATTATTATCACTATCAGCCAGAATACATTGGTATTAAATTGTTAATTTAGTTCTCGTAATGAGATTTAATATTTTCGCGACCATTCATCTCGTCTGCCCGTGATCACGGTTGCTGTAAAGTAACCGAAACGTATGTAGTATGTAGTTTTTTTGTCAAAAATAAAGTGAAAATGAAAAATACTTTATTACCAGCAATAACTCAATATTAACAGGGAACACAATTACAAACATAACAATATTTTGCTGAAGTGATAACATGGCGCGATTTCCAGGGACGTCCACACTAAGCGAGCTTGTGTCGTGGATGCCTTAGGGGGCGTTCATAAATTACGTGAGATGTTTTAGGGGGGGAGGGGATCGAGTCAAATCTCATCTAATCTTACGTTGGAGGGAGGGGGGTCTCGGCAAATATCACGTAATTTTTTTTCTGAATGAAACAAAAAAAAAATACTATTTTGGTCAATTTAATCCATTGTACAAGTATTCTATTGTTAAATTTTTATTATACTTATAATTGAACTCTCAGCAATATTGATTACTAGTCTTAACTAGTCGTAAATAAAAACACGAAGCAAATTTTCTTTTCTTTTTACAATAATAATTTAACACATTTACGTAAGAAACCCACATTTTGAAAAATCTCACGTGAGATTGGGGGATGGAGGGAGGGGGTTGAAAAAATCTCACGACATCTCACCAAGGGGGGCAGAAATTTCGAAAAAACACCTCACGTAATTTATGAACGCCCCCCTTATTTACGATTAACTATAACAAGTTTCACCTACGGTAGATGGCGTGTTCTTTATAAAGATGTTACAAATGGCTCAAAAGTATTAAATCTTAAAGTCACGAAGTATTAAATCTTAAAGTCGCGTAGTACATCCGAAAAATTATAGTTTCTGTTAAGCATTAGTTTTCATTTCCAAAATAGACTAAAAAAATTTAACCTTATTCGATATTGGTATAAATCGGTTAATTCATGTGAATGAAATAAAAAAAATAGTTGAATAAAATGTTACTTAAAATTCTTATATCGTAATATTGTTAGTCAGTCGATAACAATTGTATGCACATTCAGCTTGAATATGTATGGTCACAGCTTACACACTTTCGAAAGGTTTATATGTAAAAATGGGATAGAAGTAATGAAAAATTTTATAAAACAGATGAGTAACATTATGCATTTTGTATGTAAATTAAAGAAAAAACATAGAGTAGAACGAAATCTGAGGTATCAAAAATGAGTATTTAAAACTAGTCTATAATACAGGGTGGCCCAGAAAGACCGAAGTGGTGTGAATTGCTTATAACTTTTTATTTAAGAGATACTTTTTTAATTATTTTTTTTAAATACATTAAATTTATGGGGAATATTTTTGGATTAGTTATTAAAAATGATATCCCGCAAGTGGTGGCCATATTCTGCTTCGCACAAATGTGCTCTTTCCAACACATTTTCCATGACCTTTCGCAAAACTTCCGGTGGTATGTTGTTAATTTCTTCTCGAATATTGGTTTTTAACTCCTCAATAGTCCTAGGCTTATTAACATAAACTTTTCCTTTTAAATAGCCCCAAAGAAAACAGTCTGGAGCGGTTAAATCCGGGGACCGCGGAGGCCAATTAAAATTGCTGTTACGAGAAATTATTCTTTCACCAAAGATGTCGCGTAAAAGAGTCATTGTGGCCCTCGCAGTGTGCGCTGTGGCTCCATCCTGTTGGAACCATATTTGCGGATGGTTTTCCACGGCTGGCCTTACAAAATTTTGCAACATGGCCCGATATCGATCACCATTGACGGAAATGGCGACACCTTGTTCATTTTCAAAAAAAAAATGGGCCAATGATCCTTTCTGAAGAAACACCGCACCAAACGGTACACTTAACTGGGTGCAATTGTCGTTGATGAAGTACTCTCGGGTTTTCCGTAGCCCATATCCTACAGTTTTGCTTGTTAACGAACCCATTTAATTGAAAATGGGCTTCGTCACTCATTATTAAGTTATGAATAAAATTTGGATTCTCTTGTGCTTTTTGCTGGAAATAAATTGCATAGTCAAGTCGTTGCTGGTAATCTGTTGGTTTCAATTCTTGGACAAGTTGAATTTTGTATGGAAACAATCCTATGGTGTGCAAAATTCGCTGCAGCGACGTTCTTGAGAGGCCCAGTTGTGACGAACGTCTCCTGGTTGATGTTTCTGGATCCTCCCGAATACTCTCCTCTACCACTTGAATATTGTCAGCCGTGTGGACAGTTCGGTGTCTGCCGGAACCAGGAAGGTTCCTTACTGCTCCTTGTTCTCGAAAATTTGCAACCAGACGGTTTATTGTTGACTGAGAGGGTGCAACCCGCACATTAAATTGACGACGGTATGCACGCTGAGTCAACACAATGGACCGTTGATTTGAAAAGTAAATTTCAACAATTTGGGCACGTTGTTCAATTGTGTATTGCTCCATTATAAATTATCCAAGTCTTCTTTACAAAATACTGAAAAGAAAAGAAAAAAAAATTATAATAAAAAAGTTATAAGGAATTCACACCACTTCGGTCTTTCTGGGCCACCCTGTATAAAGGACGGATGATATACAAAAAAAGTATTTGTTAAAGACCTAAAAACCTAGCGTATCTAATGTTTTATTCCTTTTCCAGTAATAAAAGTGTTGAAAGTACCGGGGCTGGTGGTGTGCGTGGTGGGCAGCGTGCTGTCTCTGGTGAGGGACGCGCTGGACCTAGCGGGCTCGGCTCTAACCAACAAGTACCTGCGGGAGCTGCTCAGCGAGAGGCGACTGGCGCATCTCATACGACTGGGACATAGTGAGAATAACTGAACTGCCACTGAAATTAATTACCTATTGAGAAATAATAACGCTACAACTGAAAATAATTACCTATTAAATATTAGTCGCTTCTTTCAATACTTCGTTGGCACGGACAACAGAATTAAATTCAAAGAAAAAAACAATGTTTGACTCGAAAATAGTGACTAACTAGCAGCGCCATCTATAGTCCCGTAAATCGATGTATTGTTCCCATCAGGACTTTCTTTAGATATTATAGACATATAGTTCTAATGTATGGAGATATGTCTGATAACTTTCATAAGAATCCATTCAGTAGTTCCTGGTGTGTAAGGATTTATAACCATACACATATGTCAGTCCATACAAACTTTATTGTTTGTAGTATTCATACAATTTGAGATTACGACAATGGATTATAAATTAAATTTGCATGGATGTGGAGAGACGAAAGTATTATTATTAGATTTTTGTGAGATTGCGAAAACGATTCATAGTTCAAACCTTCATTTCAAATTAATGGCTCTGTAAATACCAATGAATCCTCTTATACAACCATTACAGCTACCGCCTCTCACTCATTGTAGCCTAGTCGCTTTCGGCCAACGTGATATTGTCCTTAAAATTAACCCTAATACCATAAAATAAGGTTCAATTTACTAATATATTCCATACAATGCTAAGGTAATATCTCAACTTCCAGACCTCCTGTTCAATGACCGCAGCCCCCGCAGTCCTCCGTCGCTGGTGACGTCACGTGCGCGAGCGCGGGTGGTGGGGGCGGGGGCGGGCCGGGGGGCGTGGTTGTGGGCGGGGCTTGGACAGGATGTGTTCGAGTTAATGCAAATACCGAGGATGAACAAACAGGTCGGTTGAAAATGATACTAGTGTCGTGTTACGTAATGGCTTCTAGAAGACTACACAGATAGAAGGTTCTGTGTTCGCCTGTGTTTGCTTGTTAGCGATCTTCTGGGATATATAATTTAAGACGGGTTTTCCTTATATATGTTTAATCTGAACTGATATTCAAATTAAAGAATTTTAACGTCATCTCCACGAATAAGATCCTTATGTTCCTTTAAGATAAGATCCTTATCCAGTTTATCTCGAATCAGTCATTTTATGCTATACAGGATGACTGGTGAATTACTATCAATACTTGAGGACGTGATATTTGACGATCATATATGACAAAATAAAAATTAATATAACATAAATATTAATAAACTTCTAAGTAAAGTTAACCAAAAGTTATGTAATTAATTACGCATCGTGTGAACACCCTACAGATTAGGTATACACACACACTCACACATACGCGTGCGGCGGCGTGGCGTTGTATCAGCATGCCGCCGCACGCGTCCACACTTGGAACACTTGGAACGTGTCCACACTTTATTTATTTATACGGAAATTTGGTCAAAAATTAAGTACCTATTTTTTTTACATAATTCGAATGAGAATCATGTACCGAGTATGCTCCTTAAATATTGATAGTAATTCACCAGTCACCCTGTATATTCAAACATCAGGTAACGGCGGAGCTGGCATCTATTAGGTTTTTCACTGAATCGTAAAATTCTCCAATCCTTATTCAAGAACGTGATTCAATATGTTTATAATGTTAAAAACAACCTTGTATGAAATACATATTTCTTTCCATCTCGTCTGTCCGTGACCACGGTTGCTGCAAAGTAACTGAAAAATCGACAGGAGGTAGTTTTACAAAATAAAAACACGCGTAGTAATACATAAATATTAATTTAGGTTTCATTATTATATATGTGTTTTATTTCCAGCTGGTGTATAACTTACTGGACCTGTGTGTTCTCGAACTGTTCCCGGAGCTGCGCTCTCCCCACACTTGATGACGTATTACCTTCTATCATTACTGTATAAGTATTTTTTTTGTAAATTGTGAAATGGTTGCAAGTGATAGTTTTCTATTGTTACGTTTACTTTACGAGTGATTTCTATTGAAATGTAAATAATTGTATTATTAAATATATATTTTTTTGTAATAACGTAACGACCGCAACCTCTGTCTGTGATAATGCGGGTTGCTCTAAACGAATATTTGTAACAGGAAATACCAACCAAATATATTATTTTCATATCACGTGTGTTATTTCTACTCCCTATATGTCGAGGCTGGTGAAGTAGAACTACATCCCCTATTACTTTTTTTTAGTAGAATATGTTTTAGGCTACGTCAAATAGACAACAGTGTATAAGTTGCAAAAGTTTTTTACATAATTATGTTAACTTTTATAAGTATCTAAATCTTTATGAATTATTAAAGCAAAAAACCATGGATTAAAAAGCAACTTCAAAATCCTATATTTTTGGAAATCATTACGTATTTGGTAGACCTGGTTTAGCAAAAGCAATTGACTTTAGCTCATTTATGAGCTTGTTCTCCTATTACAGTATATTACTGTTCTGAGAGCACACCGTCTAATTGATTCGTGGTAGACTGAAAAACTGTTATAAGAAATGGAAAGTTTGGAATGGAATCAATTCTTAACATTAAATGGTGTCATCCCAATTCCTTATTCTGGTTAACACAAAGAAGCAGTTTCTTGTAAATCAAACTTGCTTCGTATATTATGCAGATAACTGTAATGAAAAAGAACTTTATTCAAGCAAAGACGCGTTTAGTACGTTTCAGTGTGTAAACACCGCAGTGAATAGTTCAATAGTTAAAAGCAGGAGGTGATAGATGATTCCATGACAGATGACCCTGGAAGATAGATTCCTGGAATGTTGAGTATTTTGGTAAGAGCTGTCATTAGCGGAAGCCAATATCAAGATTTTTTTTTTATTGTGATCAACTGACGCAGAAGTTATTGTTTTCAGTGAAACTGTTTTAGAAATTTTAGGTTTAAATACTGAAGGTATAAATTTGAAAGGTCTGTATGTAACATAAGTAAAGAGTTACCGTGAATCTCTAACATAATCCTGTTTAGGAGCCCCACAAAACTACTAATGATATAAATTAAATCACTTATTTTATATGTTTATTCTTTTATTTAGCGAAAAATCCTTTATATTATCAAATATTTATTTCATTAAAATATCATTTACAATAAAACTTAACAAAAAGTATATCGAACTGTTTGTATACGGGGTTAAATTGTATGATACAACTCTTCAATAAAATTATCTGAATTACATTTTTAATAAAACTAACAAAGGTTTTCGTTGCGCATTATCAAAATTTTTCATAGTGAAAACAAAACGGTTTGACAGATGCGCTGTCATTGTAAAGTTTCATTCTACTATAAACCAACATTATTAAGATGGTAGTTCTTGCCTTTGATCACCGATGGCTTTATGTAGTCTTGAATTTAAGCGACTTATACTATGTCTCGTGATCGTTCTAAAACAGAGTCCGCATCATGTAAATGTCAATTTATTTGCAGTAGAATGGAGAAGGTGGTGGGTGTGTTGCTTCGCGTAGATTTTTTTATTTCGTTTAATTTTTTAAAAACATGAACTAAGTAGTTAGTTACATTTAATTTATTAATAAATAATAAGTTATTAGTGTAAACAAATTCGTTCTGAATATAGATAGTGAATAAAAATTTGTACATTAAGCTAGCTTTCCAATTTCAAAAATATTTACATTAATTGTTTGTTGTTGTTAAAGTGCAGTTTATGTATCAAATGAGATAAGAAATCAGCGTTAATTATTGTAATTAACAATCATTATGATTAATAATGAAGCCATTAGTGAAAAATCCACAGTGCGTCCTTATTTGAAAAATGGCTATATTGGGTGAATGTAACTCCACTCTTAAACCTTTGCCATGTCGTCGCCATGTCAAAAAGGCGGGATGCGCCTCAGTGAGGCCCTAGACAATATACAGCTCGCTTATAATCCAATTACCAAACAATTACATTTTGTGAGCCCCAAAGCAGAGAAACAGACAGAGGACATATCAGACGACGTTGACAAGTTGTCTAAAAAGAGTAGCTTCAGTGATGAAGGGAACTATTCAATTTCGACCTGTGAAAAAAGTGATACAAGTGATTCTCCAAAAAGTACATTGCAATGGGGTGGGAGTGTGTGTGGTCACCAGCGGGGTAAGGACGGTGGATCTTTCTCAAGTACTGTCTCCAGTTTATCAGAGTGTTCTCTGGGTTCCAATGGGTCTCGAGAGGACGAGCTAACAGAAACCACTTTACCTGAGAATGGCAAACTTAAGAAGAAAGGTCTATCAAGTTTCTTTAGCAGGTATGTAGTTTTTAATGTTATAAAGTAATCCATAATTTAAAAAAAAGGAATGTTACTCAATATTATACATATTTATATATTCAATATTATGTCTTAAAACATCAACTTTCACTTGTGGCTTCAACATCAAAGTGCATATTATGTGTGTTGTAAATTTCACACATAGTTTAATCTATCAAATGCTTTCTCTAATAAATACAAGTATTTTGAATACAAATATATGCTAAAAAGATGAAGTGAATGTTGTTATTTAAAATATATTATTATCCTCACAAATTAATGAACATAAGAAAGAGTATAAGAGTTTATTAGTACTATAATTTATAAAAAGATAGTTGCTACATTTTCTATATAATATTATTCATTAGTTCCTATTTTGGTTACAAGGTGCAATTGAAACCAGTTTTCAAATCAACAGTATGGCCTTGACTAAGAACATTTTTGTTTTTGAATTGGCTGGGAATTCCACTTGCTAAATTATATATAATGTTTTGTTTATGTAAACTAAATAAAAAACTATTTATGAAGGAGTATAAATTATTTATTGTATAAGTTATTCTTACAATGGAATGTATAAGTGTAAAACATTTAATAAATAGAGTATTTTAAATCTTAATTGTGTAGGAATAGAGTACAATTTTTGCTAATCTCTTCCAAACTTCTCAGCATCAATTCCGACCATGTCACAAGATAGTTTGAACAATTTCTCTTGATATTTTTCATTTTTAGAGAATCTGTTGCTGAAACCTTCCTTGCAATTTGCAATATATAGACCACCTTTTGATAAAATCTCCTTATTAAAACAGGCATAGTGTATAGAAACTGCACCCTTTTCTGGTGTTTTGAAGAAAGCTTTTTTAATCCATGGAAATTTCGCAAAGTTCGTCTTCTCGAATAGATCTGTGTCTACTATTCCTGGGTGTACAGAATAACACTTAACGGGAACATCTTTATCTTCCAACAGTCTATTTATATATCTTGCAATCATTAACTGAAATAGAGAAATATGTTAATATCATTAATACATTATTTTAAATAATTAATATTTATATAACAGTTAAGTTTTCTACCTGTGCCAATTTTGATTGTGCATAAGCTGCCGTCGTATCATAATGCTCTTTCATATTAATATCTTCAAAGTAAATCTTTCCGGGAAAATGACCACATGATGTTACATTCACAATTCTTGCGGGTTCATTGACTTTGCCAGCATTTTTTAATGCTGGTAACAATAAATGTGTCAAATAGAAATGACTCAAATGATTCACTGCTAGTTGTGTTTCGAAGCCATCCTCGGTTAATTTATAATCTCCAAACATTATGCCAGCATTATTGACCAATATATGTATTTCCTTGTACTCTTTCAACACACTCGTTGCAAACTGTTTAACTGATTTCAGTGATTGTAAGTCCAGTGGAAATGCTCTTATGTTGTGTCCGTTCTCCATAGTTTCTTTTAGTTTATTTACTGAGTCTGGATTTCTAACACCCATTACGACGGTCATGTTTGATTTTAGAAATCCTCTCACAACTTCTGTTCCGATGCCCCGAGCTCCTCCAGTTATGACAGCTATTTTGTTTTTACTATCTGGCAAAACTATCCTGTTTCTCCAAACGCTGACCCAGTCGTCTATCAAGCCCCCCGCGCCTGCCCCCTGCATATCTATAGCGTATTTAATTTCACTGAGTATATGCCTGATAGGTTTTCGTCTGTTCACATACCAATAAGCCGCCCCCGCCATAGTTATCACCGCCGAAATAGCTACCAGATACATGTTAGGTTATGTTGCCCGTATGATACGTAGCGCACTGCCGTCTGGCTTTCACTCGAATGAAATCCTCTCCGCTTTCTCTCGCTTATGCGTGTTTGAAATACCGTTAGTCCTTACGGAAACGATCTTCAGTTGTTTGGTTAAGCAAGAATCGATATTAGGAATATACTACTTTATTTATAAACTGTAAAAAAAAATATTTTTTATTATAATGATAATGGAAAAATGTAATCTCGTTATTTTATTATATATCGCTCTAAGCCTAATCGATTGTAATGAAGGTTTGAATGTTACTGTGCACATTATGTGACTTACTGTCAAATACAATATGGTATGCGGGTTACGTCATTAAATGGAATTGTACCTACGAGACAGACGATTTCTATTAGAGGCGTTAACCGTTTGTTTGTTATTGAAATAAGCATTCCTTATGGAGGACATTTTCAATTTGTTTTGAATTCCGGTGACGTCATCTGATGTTTACGTTTATTCGAACATTTTGTTATCTGTGCATTTACGAGTCACTAGCAAAAATATTATATAAGTTTAATATTATTAATATATAATAGATAATGTGAGTGAAGTAGCTGATATGTAATTTAAATCTGTAGACTGACTCACTAATATGATTAATATTTTTTATCAAGGAAAGTCTTATATTTTTGTATTGTCTTTGTAAATGCACAAGCGTAGCGATAAAAGTGGGACATTAGTTACGCTTAAACAATTAGTTCTAACAGTTATTTCTACAGAATATCTTGGCTAATAAGGTGCAGTTAATTTTAATATTTTTTCTAATCCATAAAACGATGATTCTGAACAGTATTACGTCATGGAACAGGTTACAAATGTCATCTAACGGTAGTAACGGAGTGGAAGTATTAATGAAGGGTCTATGATCTGTGGCGACAATCTCCTGCAATTTTATTACTACATCCATTAATATCTAGATTAATTTTCTATATACATATTACAGAAAACTTTAACACTATCTTTTGCTTTCCAAACATTTAAATATGTGGAACTATCACCTATAGTCCAGTCATTATAGTAAGTTCACCTCGGAATTCGAGATACCCAGCTGTAAGTCTGTAAATAGTTGTATATTGACCCCCTAAAAGTTGTCTCAAAACCTACATATGGTAGGGTGTAAGCAACTATTAAATTTCATGGTCAAAGGTCACAAAAATCGGTTTTCTGCGCTTTTTTTGGAAATATCTCATTTCCTATGGGTTTTTTGCTATTTGTATTTATTATCAATATTGTAGAATACTAAATTCTCTACAAATTTTGTTTCAAAAATTTTTTTATACGGTGTACCGTTTTTGAGATAGAAGGCGGAGAGCGCGCGGTCACCGCATCACTTCAGGTCAACCGGTACCTCCGGTCGAAAACGCGCCATATATACATAGTTGATGAACTATCAATAAATCAATGATTATAAATATTTGTAAATTTTTATTAACTATTATATTATATTTTATCATTTTCTTCATGCATTAAATCTATATCTATTCAAACCTTATTGGCAGTCTATAATGCTCCGAAATGTGTGAAAAGTCTCGATCTTCGTTATACGCATTTTGTCAAGTCTACAAAACTTAATAAACCTGTGCAGCTTTCAAATGTTCCACCAACAAGTGCCGCTGCTCATCAACATTACAACCGTGTATATTATCAAGTTCAAACTTGGTTAGGACATGATTTGGAACCCCAGGTATGGGGTTGGGCAATGCGAAATGATTTTCTAAAGCCTGTCATGACAGTTTTACCACCTGCTCCAGAAAATTTGCTAAATACAATTTTCTGCAACTGCAAAAGTGGTTGTGGTTCGCGATGCGGATGCAGGAAAGCGGGCTTGCAATGCTCTTTAGCTTGTGGCCAATGTAATGGGCAAGCTTGTCTCAATGCTCAATCATATCAGAGCGACATTAACGAAGATGGAACCTTTGATCCCGAAATCAAGGAAGAACTTGAAACAAATGTCGTTGAAGACGATAATGAAGACCAGTTTGAAATTTACCAGCAGCCAGAAGACGACGATGAAGAGGAAGAAGATGTTTAAAATTATAAATTGCAGTTTTTGTACCCTTTATTCCATTTTTTTACTTTCAATAAAAAATAATTTATTCAATGATATTTTTCAATAAAAAGATTAATTCATAATTTATTTGTTTTTTTTTCATCATGTAAGAAGTTATTAATATTAATTAGGTTAAAATTCAAATATAATTCTTATATTCTCATTAACAATTCTGCAATTACATGGACAGGTAAGTGTTGTTAAGTAAATTAATACTGAATAAAAAGTGGATAAGTTAGGAAAAAAATGATAAAATATAATATAATAGTTAATAAAAATTGACAAATATTTATAATCATTGATTTATTGATAGTTCATCAACTATATATGGCGCGTTTTCGACCGGAGGTACCGGTTGACCTGAAGTGATGCAGTGACCGCGCGCTCTCCGCCCTCTATCTCGAAAACGGTACACCGTATAAAAAAAATTTTGAAACAAAATTTGTAGAGAATTTAGTATTCTAGAATATTGATAATAAATACAAATAGCAAAAAACCCATAGGAAATGAGATATTTCCAAAAAAAGCGCAGAAAACCGATTTTTGTGACCTTTGAACTTGAAATTTAATAGTTGCTTACACCCTACCATATGTAGGTTTTGAGACAACTTTTAGGGTGTCAATATACAACTATTTACAGACTTACAGCTGGGTATCTCGAATTCCGAGATTCTTACCTAATTTAAGCTTAAATGACTGGACTACTAATAATCTTAGCGTGGATAAATTCTGTTATCACCAGGATTTAAAACATTTCGTTATCTTTTTTCTATCCGACATCGTCTAAAAGTTTGCTATTTCGTTTCGATAGCGTTTGTAACTAGAAATTAATAAAAGTAATGGCTGATTTTGAATCATGTGGTTTGGTAGAAGTTTATGGTAGTAGCTTATTTGTTAAATCTAAAGGAATGAGACAACGAAAAAGTCTTTATTAAATGATTTGCCAATTATGCTAAATGAAAAATTATGAAATAACTTATATTATACAGGGTGACTGGTGAATTACTATCGATATTTGAGGACGTGATATTTGACGATCATATATGACAAAATAAAAATTAATATAATATAAATATTAATAAACTTCTAAGTAAAGTTAACCAAAAGTTGTGTAATTAATTACGCATCGTGTGAACACCCTACAGATTAGGTATACACTCACACTCACACATACGCGTGTCGCGACGTAGTGTTGTATCCGCACGCCGCCGCACGCCTCCACACTTGAACACTTGGAACGTATCCACACTTTATTTATTTATACGGAAATTTTGTCAAAAATGAAGTACCTATTTTTTTTACATAATTTGAATGAGAATCATGTACCGAGTATTCTCCTTAAATATTGATAGTAATTCACCAGTCACCCTGTATAAGGTTTTAAGAACTGTAAATACATATAAATATTAAACGTGATATTAGTACGAATTGATATATGGTGCCACAGAAATATTTGTAGAATTTTGACCGGAAACCATTGTATGGCCGTTTTTTGCTATGGCTTGACCTTTTTAAAATTTCTGTAAATTCTTTATAGTGACATTGACGCTACCAATGACATTTAGTATAGACAGCTATAAGTTTCTTTTTCCGTCTCATATTTGTTGACAATTATTAAAAAAATATTACTTTTACACTCTGACGTAATAAAATCTCTGCTTGTTTTGATCTTATTAATTAAATTGTTAGTAGTCGTGATACGCTTTTTATTTTATATGTATCGATCGGAAGTGAAACCTTGGTTCACCGTTTTAACGATCATAGCGTCAAGGTTTTGTAAATATTTTTTTTTTTAGTTATATTAATTACAGATTTGCCTTCCTTTTATAATTTTTAATAATATGTCGACGTTTTTTATGTACTAGCTTGTGACTTTTACTTGTCTTTCTTCTGAGTGTTATATGCTACTTGTTTTCTGTCAATATACAGGGTGACTGGTGAATTACTATCGATATTTGAGGACGTGATATTTGACGATCATATATGACAAAATAAAAATTAATATAACATAAATATTAATAAACTTCTAAGTAAAGTTAACCAAAAGTTATGTAATTAATTACGCATCGTATGAACACCCTACAGATTAGGTATACACATACACACACACTCGCGCGCGGCGGCGTGTTGTTGTATCAGCACGCCGCCGCACGCGTCCACACTTGGAAGACTTGGAACGTGTACACACTTTATTTATTTATACGGAAATTTGGTCAATAAAGTACTTATTTTATTTACATAATTCGAATGAGAATCATGTACCGAGTATGCTCCTTAAATATTGATAGTAATTCACCAGTCACCCTGTATATACAAATTAAATTTAAATATTGCCTCATAATATACACATACAAATAATAAACGATACACATTCCTATAGAATTACACTATTAATGACGTAGCGAGAGTAAGAAATACTAATATAGTGTTAATGTATGTAAAATGGTGATGATGAATAATAACTTCATTACCGTCATCTGATGATCAACTTATATGTAAAAACAAATATGGTCAATTTATACATATATAACAGTGTCCATATGACCTAAAGTTCAAATGCATTGTATGAATGCACACGAATACTGGTTCGTTACTTTTTGTATTCATTAAGATGAAGTACCAGTTGGGAACAATGCGCTATAAACTTGAGGCAACACGATGCATACGTAACGTAAAATTGTTTGTACCTTAAACCTGATACTCGAGAACCTGTTTGAGGCGGCAGCGCTGACCGGCTGACACTACATTCAGGCAAAATAACTTTAGAAGATACAATAATATTGGCTGGGGTTTTATACATTGCGTACTACGAAGCGACATGATTTGTATATGAATGTACACCGCGCAATGGATATTGTCGGTTGATTTACTCTCGTATATAATACTCGATGAAGATAAACGAAATTAATTTCATTTATAT